CCGGTGACCCCGGGTGGGGCTGGGGTGGGGCCCGCATCAGAGGAGGACATGACCAAGCTGTGCAACCACAGGCGGAAAGCTGTTGCCATGGCAACTCTGTACCGCAGCATGGAGACCACCTGCTCACACCCTTCTCCTGGTGAGTTTTCCTGCCACTTTAGAGGAGAGAGAGGAAAAGCTGAGGGCCTGGCAGTGGGTGGTGGAAGAGCTGTGCAGGAGTGCACAGGATGGAGCTGGCGGACACAGCTTGGGGGAGTTGAGGCTGGAGAACACCGATGATAGGGACCCACAAGCTGACCCTTCATTCTCATTTATTGCAGGAGAGGGAGCAAGTTCCCAGATGTTCCACACTGTGTCCCCAGGGCCCCCCTCTGCCCGCCCTCCTTGTCGAGTTCCTCCTACAACTCCTCTTAATGGGGGTCCTGGCTCCCTGCCCCAAGAACCACCTTCAGCTCCACAGTCCTTCCCCCCTCTCCCAGGCCCAGCAGGGCTCTTCCCACCACCACGGCTTCCCGACGCAGTCCCCTCTGGGGGCAGCAGCGGTCCTGGCTTCCTCCCCAGAGGCAGTGCTCCCCCTCCCGCTCCCTCCTACAACTGGAGGGCCTCTCCCCGATGCAGCCTGGTGCCCCCTGACCTGGGCTCTGCCCCAGCCCCTCATGCCGCCGCCGCCGCCCCACCTCCAGACTCTCCTGTCTTCCACTGTAGTGATGCCTTAACAACCCCTCCCCTGCCCCCAAGCAATAATCTCCCTGCTCCCCCTGCTCCCCCTGGTCCCGCCACTCAGCCACCAGTGTCTTCAGCCACTATGCACCTGCCCTTGGTCCTGGGGTCCTTGGGAGGGGCCCCCACAGTGGAGGGGCCTGGAGCACCCTCATTCCTCGCTAGCAGCCTCCTCTCTGCAGCGGCCAAGGCACAGCATCCCCCGCTGCCCCCTCCCAGCACTTTACAGGGCCGAAGGCCCCGTGCCCAGGCACCCTCAGCTTCCCACTCTTCACCCCGGCCCTCTCAGCGTCGCCCCCGCAGGCCCCCGACTGTCTTGCGGTTGCTAGAAGGGGGAGGCCCTCAGACCCCTAGGCGGAGCCGTCCTCGGGCCCCTGCTCCCGTCCCCCAGGCCTTCCCTCTCCCAGAGCCGTCCCAGCCCATTCTCCCTTCTGTGCTGTCCCTGCTGGGGCTCCCCACCCCTGGCCCTCCACACTCTGACGGAAGCTTTAACCTCTTGGCGTCAGATGCACACCTCCCTCCTCCCCCGACCCTCTCCTCAGGGAGCCCTCCCCAGCCCAGGCACCCCATTCAGCCCTCTCTGCCTGGGACCACCAGCGGCAGCCTCAGCAGTGTGCCAGGTATGAGTGCCTGCCCTGGGCTGCTTTCTGAGCGCGGGGGGGGGGGTACACTCATTCGGGGCACCCGGGAAGTTTCGAGCTCGCCTGGGGGGTTTGTGACAGGGAGGTGGGTTCCAGGAAGAGGCTTCCCTGGAGCTGGCTTTCTTTTCTTTTACAGGTGCCCCTGTCCCACCAGCTGCCTCCAAAGCCCCTGTAGTCCCCAGTCCTGTGCTTCAAAGCCCATCTGATGGGCTGGGGATGGGGGCAGGCCCAGCCTGCCCTCTGCCTCCCTTGGCTGGTGGGGAGGCTTTCCCTTTCCCCAGTCCCGAGCAGGGCCTGGCACTCAGTGGCGCCGGCTTCCCAGGGATGCTGGGGGCCTTGCCTCTCCCTCTGGGTCTGGGACAGCCTCCACCTTCTCCATTACTTAGCCACAGTTTATTTGGTGTGCTGGCTGGGGGAGGACAGCCTCCCCCTGAGCCCCTGCTGCCCCCACCAGGGGGACCTGGCCCTCCCTTAGCCCCAGGCGAGCCCGAAGGGCCTTCGCTTTTGGTGGCCTCTTTGCTTTCGCCGCCCCCTTCAGACCTCCTCCCCCCCCCTTCTGCGCCCCCTAGCAACCTTGTTGCTTCTTTTCTGCCCCTGTTGGCCCTGGGCCCCACAGCTGGGGACGGGGAAGGATCTGCAGAGGGGGCCGGGGGTCCGAGTGGGGAGCCATTTTCAGGTTTGGGAGACCTGCCCCCCCTACTGTTCCCCCCACTATCAGCCCCCCCTACCCTCATAGCTTTAAATTCTGCGCTGCTGGCTGCCAGCCTGGATCCCCCCTCGGGGACACCCCCCCAGGTAAGGCCTAGGGCACTGGTGGAGGAGTAGATCAGGGTATGGGGACTCTGCCTGGGGGCTGCCGGGGAAGACGCATCTGGGCTGGGGGCAGGGTGGGTATGAGGAGGGAGTCAGAGCGTGTCAAGCTACTGCCGCCCATCAAGCACTGGCCTCATGCTCTAGCCGCTCTCTTCTTAGCCCTGTGTCCTGAGTGCCCCCCAACCTGGACCACCTACCTCCAGTGTCACCACGGCAACTACTGACCCGGGGGCCTCCACTCTGGGCAAGGCCCCCTCCAACTCAGGGAGACCCCCCCAACTTGTCAGCCCTTTGCTGAGTGCCAGCCTGCTGGGTGAGTGGTGGGAAAGGGCAGCGACAGCTGGGGAGGGAGTGGCCACGGGGTAAGACCCAGCTCGCCCGCCCGTCTAGGGAGAGCCCTGACCTCAGCCTCCCCACAGGTGATCTGTCTTCACTGGCCAGCAGCCCTGGCCCCCTCCCCAGCCTGCTGCAGCCCCCTGGCCCCCTTCTTTCCAGCCAGTTAGGACTGCAGCTCCTCCCTGGGGGGGGAGCGCCTCCCTCCCTGTCAGAGACTTCTAGTCCCCTAGCCTGCCTGCTACAGAGTCTCCAGGTGAGCAAGTGTGGGTGGGTCTGTCTGAAGAAGATGGTTCTTAAAACTGGGAAGGGTTCCTGAGGACGCAGGGCTTTGGTTGAAATGGAGATGTTTTTTGCCAGCAGATCCCTCCAGAGCAGCCAGACGCCCCCTGTCTGCCACCCGAGAGCCCTGCCTCAGCCCTCGAACCGGAGCCTGCCCGGCCTCCCCTCAGTGCCTTAGCCCCACCCCATGGTTCTCCTGACCCCCCAGTCCCTGAGCTGCTCACTGGGAGGGGGTCAGGGAAACGGGGCCGGAGGGGAGGAGGGGGACTTAGGGGCATTAATGGTGAGACCAGGCCAGGCAGGGGCCGAAAGCCTGGCAGCCGCCGAGAACCTGGCCGACTGGCTCTCAAGTGGGGGACACGTGGTGGCTTCAATGGACAAATGGAACGGTCCCCAAGAAGGACCCACCACTGGCAGCATAATGGGGAGCTAGTGGAAGGGGGTGCTGAGCCCAAGGACCCACCCCTTCCCGGGCCCCATTCTGAGGACCTTAAGGTAAGTGTGATAACTAAGGTTCGGGCTCAGGGCGCCCGAGCACAGCCCTCACTTTAACCATGGACCCTGTCCATCTTTCCTCAGGTGGCCCCGGGGACAGTCAGAAAGTCTCGTCGTGGCCGGAGGAGAAAATACAAGTGAGTGTGAGGCCCACCCTTGTGTCACCTCTGTTGGGACTGTAGAAAATGTCCACGTAGCGGCTTGCTGTCATTGTTGTGGTGTTGGGGATCCAACCTGGGGCTTGGGGCATGTCAGGCCAAGTGTTCTACCTCTGAGCTACACCCCCTGGCCCCAAATAGTGGCTTGGTTTTCAAAAATGGCAGATATTTGAATATGAATAAGGATATTGTGCCTTTACTATCCAAATGTAGAAAGTTTCTCACCCAGCCTTCTGAAATTCACCTGGTGCTTGGGAGCTGTTCCTGATCATCTGTGCCCTTATTGCAGCCCTGCCCGGAACAGCAGTAGCTCCCGCCAGGACGTTACCTTGGATCCCAGCCCTACAACCAGAGTAAGTGTGGGCCAGGGTGGATGTGTGGTTAGAGGCATGAGGAGGTGAGCCAAGAGGAAGATGGTGAGGAAGAAGACTCCTGTTACCTTCTCTTAACTTCTGTACAGGCGGCCGTCCCTCTGCCTCCCCGGGCCCGCCCTGGACGTCCTGCCAAAAATAAGAGGAGGAAACTGGCCCCATAGCAGCCATACCTGAAGCTGGATCTGACACCCTGCCTGGGGAGAGCTGAGTGCTGAGCCTTGGGAGCCCCTGCCAGCCACGTGCACAGTGGACAGTGGGTGGGGCACTACTCCCCACTCAGAGCACACATGCAACCCCTTCCCCTACAAACCCCATCCTGAGCCATTGCAGGGGGTAGGGAAGCTCCCCCTCCCCCCCAAAGCCATGTCACTGAAGAGGCCTGGGGGGGTGGTATATGGCCTCTCCTCATCAGGCGCAAGGGGAACACCCCTTCCCCAGGTCTTTTATTTGTTTAAGTTATTTTTGCACAAATGACTCTTTTATATTTAATTCGACTTCATTGCCTCCCTTCTTAAAGCCAGCAGGCTCAGTTTACAAACCTTTGAGCTACTGTTGGCTGCTGCCTCCTTCCCAGTGAAAGGTACAGAGCAATAAGCACCATGCATCTTCCTGCACCCGCTAGCACCCGCTAGAACCCCTCTGCCTCTGGCTCAGGTTGCTCAAAGCACAGACCCCTCTGACCCCTGACCCCAGGATGGAAACACACAGCCTCATTTCAGAGTGTAGCCAGGTTCCCTCCGCTTTCCTCTGGGATGTAGGAAGGGGTAAGGGGGCACGGAGGACCGTGTGGATCTTCCCCTCCCATACACACTACACTGCCCCTTCTCCCCATCAAAACGCTCAGAGACGTGGTGATGATGATGCGACTGAGGATTATGCAACGTGGTCCAACCGGAGCGGCCAGCATGACCAGCTGTCCAGGGGCTGCCTCCTGCCTTTTTTTGTAAAGACGAGACCCTTGGGAGTTTTAATTCTGTTTTGTACTTGCCCTGTGGGGCCTCCACTGCTTTTCTATGGGAGACACTCTTAATTTAACAGATGAGAATATTTTGAAACTCTGGTTCTGGCTCTGTACTCATTTTTATTTAGTTTTTTGGTAAGAACAAATTACAGCTGAAATAGTGTCGGATCTGCATGTCTGTCTCAGTGCCACCTCTTGGAGACCCAGGAAACTCAGCAGAGGCTACACAGTACAACAGCATTTAATGGTCAGAAACAGTTGTACAGTATTACAGCCAGCCACAGAAGCTGTGTTAAGAGGATAGATAGGGTCCAGTCCTCCCACACAACGGGCAAAGCAATTATCGGGCATGAGCTGGCATGTGGCTGGGCTCATCCTCATCCACTGGGCCTGAGGACAGGCTCCCATCTAATAGCCCCCAGCTACCACTCTATTTGTCAGGGGAGGGCTCTACGCCCACATGCAAGAAGCACCCTTGCCCTTTGTGCAGTGGGAAGGGGCTGTGAGTTACTGGGAAGGGCGGCCCATGGAAGCTTCTCAGCGAGCTCTGACAAGGGCTGCCCATTTGTTCTCCAGCTCCCCAGGTGCTCACTTCCCCAGCTGCTTCATCCTCTTGTCCATGCTGGCAAAGTTCCCCTCGACTGTGGCCAAGTTTTCACGCATAGTTGTCTGCACCTACAGAGGGGAAGACAAGTCTTACTTCTGTTTGGTCCAGGTGTCCACTGGCAAGAAAACGCACCCAGAAGAAATTCTAACGGGAGCAGCTAAGATAGATCACAGTTGGTAGAGTGCTTGCCTCAAAAGCGCAAACCAGGCACCGTGGCGCATGCCTGTAACCCTAGCACTTGGGAGGCAGAGGCAGAGGCAGGAGGATCTCTTTTTGAGCTTGAGACCAGACTGGTCTACAGACCAAGTTCCAGGACACAATAAAAGAAATGGAAGTCACAGCTTTGGGTCTCTGGTTTTGAGAGGGGGGTTGGGGTGTGTGAACAGAAGGAGGGAATGTTTATAGCAGCAGTTTCCAAACTACCCTCAGAGTACTATGGACTTAGGTCAGGGTCTGCATGACTAAGAATTCCTATTCCACTCTGCCTTCAGAACTGTTATTTTATGAAAGGCTAATCAACAAAAATATGACATGAAAAATAACTACATATACATGTATGTGTGTGTGTGTGTATATATATATATATATATATATGTAGGCACACACAAACACACATAGCCCTGGCTGTCTGGAACTAGCTATGTAGAGCAAGCTGGCCTCAAACTCAAGAGACCCCCCCCTTCCTCTGCCTCCAGTGCTGGGATTAAAGGCATGTGCCACCACCACCCAGTATAGTGCACACCTTTAACCCTAGTACGCAGGAGGCAGAGGCAGGCGGATCTCTGTGAGTTTGAGGCCAGCCTGGTCTACAGAGTGAGTTCCAGGACAGCCACGGCTACACAGAGAAACCCTGTCTCAAAAAAAAAAAAAAAAGGGAAAAGCTACTAGAAACCAAAAGATGAATAAATAAAGAAGGTGAAACTAAAGCAAGATGTGTTTAGGGTTAACTCCAGCACCTGGGAGTCTAAAGCAGCAAGGCTGTTTAGTTGTGAGTTTGAGGCCAGCTAGGGGTAGACAGCCAAGCATGGTGGCGCATGCCTGTAACCCAGCACCTGGAAGGAGGAGGAGTGTCACACATTTGGGGCCAGCAAGTTTCAGGCCAGCCAGAGTGAGACTCTCTGACATCCCCACCTTCGGCCAACACAAAGCTCAAGGTTAGAGAGAAAATAGTTAACTAGATTGGGCACAAAGATCCTAGAGTATGAGCACAGAATGGACATTCAAAGGTCTAAGACAAAACCCTCTGATCTGAGGCAGGGCTGGAGAAGCTCTCAGGTCTTCGAGGGAACAAAAGATTGACATACCTGGGTCAGCAGAGCGGCGTTGTCCTTCAGGGAACTGGCGATCATCTGCTGAGTGGTGTCCAAGTGTGTCAGGAGCTGACCAAACTGCATAGCTACAAGAGAAGGAAGAGGGCCATGGCTGAGAGCAGAGCCCGCGGCGGAGAGGGACACAAAGGGACCCCATGCCTAGGGAGCAGCCTCACACCTTGCTCATGCAGCTGCTTGATGGTAACTAGTCTCTGTACCAGCTCGGGGAGGGCGGAGGCGATGGGGCTCCATCGCTGTGTGGTTTCATAAAGCTGGTGCACCTGGAAGAACATGACAGGGCCCAGAAAAGACACTGCGGTCATGGACCGACTGGGAACAGAAATACCACCTGGAGTTTCTCTCACACTAAGTCTGCATGCTGAGGAGACCCCTGGGGGGAGCAGGGTGTGTACGGAGCTGGGAGGGTCTCCCTGACCTTGCTCTGTGTGTCTGCATCCTCCACAGAGGCTTTGTGCTTGGCAATCTCGTTCACCTTTCCCAGGACACTCTGAAAGCAAAGGTGTTAAGGGTCAGGGGACCCCCAGGGCTTCCAAAGCCCCAGATACTTAGAATGCAAGTGTACTCCACTTCATACCTGCAGCCGAGCCTCTACTTGGTCCAGAACTGCAAGGTCCAGGGCGTTCACCTTGGCCTGCAACAGTTCTACAGTTTCCTAGAGAGTGGGGGAAGGGTTTGGACAAGTGTCACCAGGAAAAGAATTAGACTACGTAAAGGTCTTACATATTTCACTGGAGCCAATTAATATACCACTATAGACCCAAAAGTACTTGTCCTAAGTAATCCATTCCCATGGCTCCTGTAATCCAAACATTGCAGCTCCTCACACACTCACCATAAGGCAGGCTCCCTGCAGACCTGCAGAAAGGGGATTCTGATGGGAAACAGAGGAGAGAAATCAGCCATCGTTGTATCTCATAGGATTAACTACCTTCTTCCATCACTCCTGGTCCCAGCTGGCACCCACTAGCTGACCCCTCCCAGATTCTGGGGAGCACTGGACTTGAGGGCTCAGGGTGCTGACTAAGTACAGGACAGTCACTGACCTGAGCATCCTGGTCACAGCGGACAGTGGCCTCCAGCTCCGTCAGACGCTTCTCAAGTTCTGCAACCTATGGAGAAGAAGGTGAGGTTCCTCTGTACCCTGCTTTCCTGCTCCCAGGGTCTCCTTTCCTGGAACACATCCCTACCACAATCTTAAATTTGATTTTGGATTAGATGGACCACTTGGGAGGTGCTGAGTTTGAGTTAGCCTAGGCTACATGAGACAAGAGGAATGAGACCGTCAAGAGAATCAAAGGTGTCCCAGAACTCTCCCCAGGTCTGATCCTCCAAGGGCATACTTACTTTGGCAGCTTGAGAAAACTTGTCCTGCTCGGGCCGAGAATGGAGTTCGTAAGTGACGAGACTGCTGTCTGGGGGGGTCCCATCGGTGGCCCTTCCCCCTGAAGTCCCTCTGCTATTCTTTGTTGCTTCCAGCTGCAGCAGTAAACGCCTGGGTCAGGAGAACATGAACAGCATGACCTGGGGGTGAGGGCCCCTCCCAGCTCCTAGGGACCCCGCTGCTGTGTCTGGCTGATGTCCTCCACAGTTCCACTTAGCAAGGAGGGCACTCACTTAGCCAGGGCTCCGTCTGGGTCAGTGAGGTTGATGGCAGCATCTGGCCCCAGCAACTTTTCCAGGTGGGAAGCCACCAGCTGCTGCTTCAAGGCTGTCAGCTGTCTGGCCAGCACCACAGGAGTGAGCTTCTCCTCGGTGGCCGACTCCTTCACTGTTGTCTGACAGGGAGAGAGGGGGTAGTGGGGGTGGCAGTCATGAAGCAAGGGAAAAATGGCCACGCCCTCAAGGAAAGCTATGGCCAGGTGATCTTATATATTTACATACATGGGTGTGGACTACATGCATGTCCCTGTACCACTTGTGTGCAGTGACCATGAGGGCTAGAAGGCATCATATCTCCTGGGACCTGGGACTGCAGTTACAGATGGTTGTGAGGACCTATGTGAGTGCTGGGAATTGAACCTGGGTCCTCTGGAGGAACAGCTGATGCTCTTAACCCTTCCAGTCCCCTGTCATACCCCAGGGTGGAGTTTACAACAGCAGACTGAAAAATCATTTTTAAATTTTACGTACATTGGTGTTTTGTCTGAATGTTTGTCTATGTGATGGTGTCAGATCCTCTAGACCTCGTTACAGACAGTTATCAGCTGCTGTGTGGGTGCTGAGAATCAGACCCAGGCCCTCTGGAAGAGCAGCCAGTGCTTTTAACCACTGAGCCCTCTCTCCAGCCTCCAGCAGCCTGAACTGAACAGCATTAAACACAGATTTGTAGCCCCAAACCCTGAACACCCACAGCTGGGGAAAGGGTGCACAGCTACCTTGATCTTCTCCACCTCACTCGTCAGCTCGTGGACCTCATGCAGCAGGCGCTGGTACTTCTGCTGGGGCGTCTCCTTCACACCCAGACCTTCTCCGAGCTACAGAGCAAGTACACACGTTATGTCTCCCATTAGAGGGAGCCTTGAGAATTGATCCAAATCTTAGACCTACATCGTAAGGCATCCTGCCAACTCCTGACTCCTGGCTACCCTAGTACAGAAGAAAGGGGGATGGCCAGAGGCCTGGAGACTACAGACAGCATCCATGGGGGGGGGGGGAAGAGCCCTCAACTGTATCCTGCTTGGTTCCTCTGGAACTCAACTAGATCAACTCTGAAGAAGTTGGGAGCACTGGCTGCTCTCACAGAAGACCAGAGTTCAGTCCAGCACCCACATGGTGGCTCACAACCATCTGTAACCCTGTTTCTAGGGGATTCTATGTTCTCTTCTGGTCTCTCCAGACATCAGGCACACACATGGTGCACACACATACATGCAAACACTTATATGCACAGAACAAAAATAAATAAATCTTAGAAAAACACACACACACAAAACTTAACCTTCCTCACTCCCCAGCTCACCAACCCACGTCCACCAACACAGACAACAAACCATCTCATAGTCTCCAGATTCATATCCTGTCCTCTTGGTTTTCCCAATGCGATCTGAGAAATCTGCCAAGAAAAAAATCCTGGCCTGAATGCCTGGCCCAGGCCCACTGTAATCACAGACCTGGGCAACTCAGAGGGCTCTCACAGAGGGAGCCCTTCTGCAGGGCTAAAGGCAGGAAACCACTTAAGCTTGTCCTCTAGGGTTCCCGCCCGGCACCCGCCCGCCCGGCACCCGCCCAGCCTCACCGAGCCCCTTTGTCCCCACTCTCTTGTCCTTGAACTTGTCGTAGGCAGCGTTGGGGTTGACAATGATGTGCTCCACGCTGGTGCTGGTCAGCTCCTCCTGAGGGGACAGGGGGTTCGGATCACTGGGGCCTCATTCCCACCTCAGCACTGTACTATCCCGTGAAGACCCCGCGGTGAAGTCACCGCGCCGTTTCCCACTGCAGGCTGCCCACACAGGGTGGGCTTCCTGATGCTGGACCCTCAGCAGTGTGAATGCTAACATCAGGTTCAGCTAGGAAAGAGGCAGGGTAACCTCCCCCACCCACCCTGTGTAAACACCTCCATGCCTCCCTCCCCCTTCCCAGTTATCTGGTACACACCACACACTCAGGGCAAGAAATCATCCTGACCTCCCTTAACGCCCCCCCCCCAGCAAATCCACAGAAAGCCGACTCCTCATCCTTGCTGGGATGAAGAAAGGCCGCCAGCAAGGCCAACCCTGACTAAAACAGCAGGCTTTACTCATGCTGAAGTTAAGACGCCAGCTCTTAGATGTAAAAGGAGGTTGGCAGAGGTGTGCCCTTGCTTTCCAATATCTGCATCAAGATGGCACTCAGGATAGTGTCCCTCTTCCAACCAGGGAAGGCCATTAGGCTGCTGAAGAAGGGAGGGTCTGAGGGCGCTGTGTTGTTAGGGGTTAACACCTTCCTATCCCATAGGAGGAAGGCAAGGCCAGGCCTCATTCCTGAATCTGGGCAAACGACTCTCCATTCTAGCTGCACATTAGAGTCCCTTACAAAAGCTTTCTGTCTGTCTGTTTTGAGGAAAAACAAGGGCTGGTTCAATCTCTTAGGTGCTGCTTTAAACTAATTGTTCTGGGTAACACTAGTTACCCAGGCACCGCTATCTGCTCCAAGATAGAACCTCTGCCTGTGTGGAGGTATGTAGGGAGGAGGGGAAACAGGACTGCAGAGAAAGCGACAGTGAGAGAGAAGCCCCCCTCCGTCACCTCTGCTGAGTCACAGGAGGGACTGGAGTGGGTGGCAGCTCTAAAGACTGGGGGCCGGGAGAAGGGTCATAAGGAAGTAGCGCTACCTTCTCTACCTTTCCTTCAGGAAACTGCTAGGCAGAGGGGAAGGAGGAGTCTCTCAGCAAGGGAAAACAAAAGGGCTCAGTGGCCCCCACACAAGTCCTGTGGAGGAGAGACCTGTGAAGCACAGCCACCCTCTTTCCCTCTCGAGTCTTCAAGTGTCTGGTCTCTAAACTATCCGAGGGTGCCTACTCAAGGAAAGCAAGAGCCTCCTATGACTCCAACTCCTACAAACATGTCGTTCCTCTCCATAAAAGCCAACAAGGTAGACATTTCCTTTAAGCACAAGCATAAGAGCACATGCTTATGTGTTTGTGATCCCAGCACCCAAGAGGATAACCAACTCCAGCAGAGCTAGAGAACGGCATAGCAAAACCCTGCCTCAAAAAATAAAAATAACGCCAGGAGGTGGATGCTGGACACCTTTAATCCCAGCACTAAGGAGGCAGAGGCAGGTGGATTTCTGTGAGTTCCAGGACATCCAGAACTACACAGTGAGAACATGTCTCAAATGAATTAATAAAATAAGTTATATATAATAAAAATACAAGCTAGGCCTGTAATCTTAGTATTTGGGAGGCTCGAGCGGGGGTGGGGGGTGAGTTGCAGGCCAGTTAGGGTCACAAAGCAAGACTACAAAAAAAAAAAAAAAAAAAAAAAAAACAAAACCTAAAAAAAAGATGACCAAATGTGGCGATGCAGGCCTTTAATCCCAGCACCCAGGAGGCGGAGGCAGGTGGACCTCTGTGAGTTCCAGGTCAGGCTGGTCTACAGAGTGAGACTCCATTCTTAATTAAAAAAGAAGAAGAAGAGTGAAAAGCTGGGTATTACTAAGTGGTAGAGTGTCAAGCTATCATGCTTAAGCCCCGAGTTTGACCTCTGGTACCACATACACACAAAAGAAGGAAGGAAGGAGAGAAAGGCAGGGGAGGCGTAGCCTCAAGAATAAGGACAGTCGAGCCATAGCCCACAGCCCGCGCAGCCCTCACAGATGGGTACAGGCTCTGCCAGGGGGAACCTACTCTCTGGTCTCTGGCCTTAAGCAGGGAGACAGGAGCAACAAAGGACCAACTAAGGGAAGTCTCAGTGGCTCTGAGAGCTGCCCTGAAACCCTGCATCTTCTCAGCCTCTCTCTGAGCAGTGGCCCCTGGAGGGTCAGGCTGGATGCACATGCTGGTCTTCAGGTGGCACCCAGTCCACCAGCACCTCAAAGATGTGGCACGCCACCACAGAGACTTGTGAGGGGGGAAAGGTGCCGAGTGTGGTGGGAGACTACAAATTCCAAAGATTCACTGGAGACAAAGGACAGAGGACAGCTGCCCATCACAGCACACCCCGCTAAAAAGCAGACGGAAGGCAGGGCTTCTTACCAGCTCCTTGTGGTTTCCCCAGAGGTGAGAAAATCAAGGGTTAAAAAGGAAAGGGTGTGGGGAATAGGGATGAGGGAGGGGGGGGAAAAAAAAGACAAAATTGTTATTAGCAATTGTCACATGCACTACATGGCAGTCTTCAAACACTGTGCCACAGGGCCCCAGGGAGCCTAGCAAAGTTTGGGAACCAAAAATTTTCACTGAGGTCGGAATATGCCCCAAGAGAAAGAAGACCACGAAACCCTTTCCTCTCTAGAGGGAAGATGTCATGAAGCTTTGCCAGCTGGCAGCGGTCATGGAGGGGTGTTGGGGCACGAGCAATTAGATGTTACAGGCTGGTGCATAACAGGAAAAGTGCAGGAAGAGAAGCTCTAGAAATGGCAGAGTGTGAAGCCTCTGACGGCCTGTCACCCACAGGGGGGCTGTAACTGCCAAGCGGGGATTTCCCTTACCAGTTCACAGGGTTGAAGCCTGCTTTCAATTCACCCGCTACAGCTCTGCTGGGTGATGCAGGGTGATTCTGTCACTGCTGGACAGCACAAAGGCCCAGAGCCCAAGATCCACTGCTGCCAACCCTGATCACAGACTCAGGAGTTGGACATGGGGTAGCGTGAGAGCCCTTCAAAACAGTCTTACTTCAGGCCAGGACACAGAGACACGGCTTTATGTCCAGCAAGTCAGGTGGGTTCCGTACTGCCAGGAGGAAAACTCCAGCTCTGTTGATGGGTGGGTGGACAGGTAGAGAGGGCTGACCACCATTATCCATATAAAAAACTCACGGCGAAGGGCAGAGGTGCCTTCCTATCAGTTCATCCAGACACAATGAACGAACCCAGAAGCCCATCCAGGCACAGCTCCTCTTTAATTTCAGCCACATCTGAAGTGACTCCAGGCCCTAAAATGTCACTACACACAAGTGGGCATGAGCACCCACAGGTGACATGTGCAAACACACAACAGAATCGGGGACTACACCTGTGTCTGACTTGGTCTCACCAAGCTCAGAGCAGCACAGGAGGAAGACCATGGGCCATGAAGTTAAAATTCAAACCAAGAGGGAAAAGCAGAACAAGAATGGACAAAAACCAAAACAAACAAAAACCAAAACAAGGATGGGTAGTGGTAGACACAGTACATACCAAGTCTACGCTATGAGTGGGTTGAGTGATGGGGCGGCTTGGGGTGATTCCTATAATATGGAGTACTAAGTTACCATAGACATTTAATATACCACCAAACTTTAGAAAATTCTAGGTGCTCTGAGCCTGGGTACCAGATGAACTGGTAGACGGTTGTTAGTGGTTGTGCCTCAGAGAACAAGACCCGAGGTTCTAAATCAGACAGGGAAGGTGACCACCTCTAAGGCTGTTCAGGGTCTATGCCAATACTTTAGGCCATGGTGACAAGAAACATGGAGAGAGCTGTAGAATAAAACTGTCCAGGATGGGCCAATGTAATGCTGACCACCATCCGTTTCTAGGAGGAAGATGGAAGCAAAGGCTCAGAAATAACCCAAGTTATTACCCTAAAACTGCATGTCACCTCCCACCCTGCTTTTCTCCAAGGTTCAGCATAGGAGGATATTAAAATGAATGCTTTCTCTTCCAGTTATCAGCAAACAACTGTGAAGCGGGGTAGGGTTCGGCTTTCCCCTCTGTCTAAAAATGGCAGAAGGCAAGTTCATAAAAATCTCCTGCAACCCCTTTCAAGTCTACACCCTCCATGCTTCTGCTCCCTCCTTCGTTCCAGTTTTATTCTGCAGACCTCACAAGGAGAAGAGACAATGATTCACAATGACTCGTGCATCGTAGTTGTGTTTCTACTTTGATTAATTAATGATCTCTAAACACAAGACCAGCAAGGCCCACAGAGGGACTCACTGGGATTTGAAACAATTAGCTACAATGATCGCATAGTAGAGCATCACATGCAGGAGATGAGCACAGCATGCAGAGAAGCATCATCCAGTGGCCTTACTTGTGCAAACTAGTGTCCAGGCAGGGTGGTGAGGAGGGAGGAAGGGGAAGGGAAGCATTAGGAAAAACTCGGCTGAGTCCAAGTGCGCCAACAGTCAGTGAACACAATCCAGCATGTTCTATGATACTCTGACAGTCAGTTGGGGCCCCACTGGCTAGACTCAGGAACTCCTTCCTATTATACAGGGAAAGCTGGGTCCTGCTCTACTGTGGCTCCTGCATTTTTCTGCTTCAGCCATGAGCAGAATGCTGTACTGGCCCAAGGCAGCTTGTGAGCCCAAGGGAGGGCATTCCATTTGGGAAGTAACTGGGTTTTAACCAACCCAGGAATGCCTGAAATACAGATCCCCATACTGTGAAGGGAAGGGCTGCTAGCCTCTGCTGTTTTCCGGCCCATTCCTGTTGTAAAGTAGTTAGCTTCCTGCTAAAATTGTTTTAAAGGAATAGAAGAAAAATTGGGATCACCTGGAAAAAAATAAACCAAATCTACTTCTTTCCTGCCCCACCCTTCCCACTATGGGAATCATAATACTTTAATGTCGAAGTTAAACTAGCAATCAAGGTCTAAAGAATAGTATTTCCTTCCACAGTAAATTTTTTGGCAGAAGAGAAATCAGAGGACGGATAACGACACCAAAGGGCCATTCTATTTGATATTCCTTTAGATTAACACCAGGAAACTGGGAGTGGTGGCAATCACCTTTAATCCCAGTACTTGGGAAACTGAAAAAAAGACAGGCAGATATCTGAATTCTAGGCCTGCCTGGTCTACACAGGGAGTTCTAGGCCAGATAGGGTGGCATAACAAGCGAGACCCTGTCTCAAAAATAAAATAAGAAGTAAATTAGCATTTGCAGATTCCCCAAATTATTTACAGCTTGGCCATATTGGTTGTCCTCAGAGATGAGAACTGAGTGACAGGCAGTGGTGGGAGATTTTTTCACTACATAGTCTTAAATGTTCTTTTTGCATGCATGCATGACTTAATTTAAATACAAATAAAGTTAAAGTTGAAAACAATCTGGATTCCAGCAGAGGCTGAGATGAGAAATGAACAGGCTTCCAGCCAGCATCCAGGCCGCATAGCCAGTCCCAAGTAGGTGAGGCACTTTATGTCAGCATTACGAGCAGCAGCAGAGCCATTATGTAGCTCATTTCCCGAAAGCTGCCTTCCTAAGGCCTACAGGGACATGTGGGGGGCAAGAGCCATTAGCTGACATCAGGAAATAACTTGGCTCTCTGAGCTCCTGAAGGGCTCAAGGTGTTCACACACAACTCCTCGCTAACCCCAGAGCCATGGCGATGAGAGCAGCTTACCATCTGGCTCTCAGGCCCTTTCACAGACGCTTGCTTCCTGGGTAATATGCTGCAGGCCCTCTACAGTCAGTAGCTGCTACAGCAATAGGCTGCTCAGGCTCCGTGAGGAAAGGGCCAATCAGAGCTTTACATTCAGGGCCCACCATGCCTACAATGGGCACCATCTTCTTATGATTAAGAGCTACCTCTGTACCTCCAAAAAGAAAATGACGATGCCTTTGTTTGGAGACAGGGTTGCTGTGGTACTACTGTGCACTTGCATCGCAGTAAGCGGAAAGGAACAGTGTACTATTCACTGTCTCCCTACGGGGGCTTCATATTTTACGGGCAGGTTTTGAGTCATCTTTGACTGATGTAGTAAGGGAATTCCTCATGACACACTTTCCTACTCTATGAGGACAGGATTAACTAAGACACTTCTTGGAGGGACAGGTTTATATTCAAGTACCTGGGCTATGACATCATGTGCATTACCTCCAGATACTTAAGCTTGGGGGAGGAGGGAGAGGTGGACTGACATGCCAGCAAATACAGAAGCCACAAGAGACACACTGCTGAAAGAAGGGACAGAGAAGCTACTCCCCACAAGGTAGGAGACACTCCCACAGGAGTGTGCAATAAGGAATAAGTGAGTACGCCAAGCCAATCATTGTAAAAGCCGGCCCCACAGACATGGCCACAGGACTAACAGACACATACTGGGCCTGCTGAGATGTCCCCGTGACTTCTGGCCACGCCTTCGCTGAGGTCTCACAGCATCCAGGCAAGCCCAGCCCAGCTTTCTTTGGAAATGATAAAACATGATCTATACCAGCCACTGCTGGGCTTTGTCCCCACAGCCCTACCCTGACTCCTGCTCATCCACTTTAGGCTTTTTCTTATGTTACCCTTGTGTATCCTAACTCTTCCCTGTGTCCTGTATGCATCCTAATTGTCACATTAGTCAAGGGCTCCTTGGGCGCAGGGATGCCTCTTCCTCTGCACTGTACGGAATGAATGTATTCTGTTAAATGATACAAAATAATTCCCTTCCTGCTTAACATGTGTCCACATCCACTCCTCAGAGCTCGCTGAGCAAACTTCATATATTATCATGGTCTCTTTTCTGCTGATTAGAGGGTTTACATTTTTCCTCAAAATTGCTTTGGTCTAGCCAGGCCTCTTATTTGTCTACACCCTGCCTAATGGCTACTAATGGTTGAAATTCAAGTTCTTGGAAAGCACTAATCAGAATGCACCGAGTGAAAATTACAAAACAAAACGGCCTACTCCAACCTTAAGCCATTTATTAATGTTCAAGCATGGATTAGAACCCAGGGGCCTAATTAATCACTAATCCAGAATGTACCTGTTTTGAGTTATTGCAATTGTATTTAGGAAACCAAAGACTTGGGTTTGACTAGCAAGTCTTGTTAGTTGTGGTCCCACTGGCACGATCCCCCTTTCTGGAACTGTTCACTGGTGGCTGCCAGCTGGCTCAGCAAGGCCTTTGAAAGCCCTGAGACCTACACACCACCCAGGCCGGGGTTGGCACACCCACTTATTGCTGGAGAAGGAAGACCTATGTGGGGGAGTGAGGCCAGAGTCCAGAGGGGTCCTGAGGCAGCGCATGGCCTTACCGCATCAAACTCTGCTTGGTCATCTTCAGGCAGGTCGCTGGTTTCATAAACATCTGGCTCGTTCCTGGCCTGCGGGCGGAAGCAATGACCACCCAATCTCACTACCCCAGCCGTCACCCCTCGTCCCCCGCTTCCTATGAACCAGCTAATGCAAAACCCGGGGCTGCGATTCCCGGGTTCTGCTGCTCCTCAACTCCCCCTGTCCAGTGTGTCAGCTTCCGTAGCTCAGGGGGTATATAACCACAGGTGCAAACTGGGGCCTGGGGCAAATGACCAATGTGAGAGGAAAGATATCACCTTGGGCCGGCTGAGAGGCCAGTCCTCGGTAACTATTTTGCTCTGCATACCACTCCACTGCTACAAGGGCTGAGTGACTCAGGCCCTTGGTTCCCAAGGTGCTGTGGGCCAGTCAAGTCTCCCAGCCCCGAGAGCGGAGGGGCAGGGCCAGCCCCACCGAGGCACACAAGCCGCCCCGTGCAGCAGGAGCACGCACAGGGGCTCCCAGGGGACAGGGCTCCCCACTGGCACAAGGGTCTTCTGCGACAGTAACCTCCTCCCTGGCAAGATGAAGGCCACCGTCAGGTGGCCTAGTGAGTGGGGCTGGAGCCAGGAAGCGGGGGGCGGGCGGGCGCTCTGGGGCAGTGCTGACACGGACGACACAAACACGAGTGGCGGGCGCCCGGAGGCGATTCCTGGGCGGAGAGACCGGCTACTGCCGGGGAAAGGGGGCCGGACGCGGAGGCCAACGGCCCGGCCCGGCCCGGCGGTCCGGAGGGTGCTGCGGCGGCAACCGCCGGCCCGGAGCGCTCGCCTGCCTCTGCTGGGGTCCGTGGGAGGCCGGGGGCGCGGTCTGGGGAGCCGGGCCCAGCCCTGTACTCACAATGCCGGGGAGGTCGGCGTATTTAGGGTCCGCCATGGCGGCGGCGAGGCGGGGCTGGGGGGCCGAGGCCTCGGCGGAGCCGGGGCCGGTGACCGGGTGGGGGGAGAGGCTGGGTCCGGGTCCCCGGCTAAGGCGACGGTAAAGGGAGCGGCAGAGCAGCAGGAAGTCTCGCGACAGCAGCCGCCCGGCAGAAGGGCACGGCAAAAGTCGCGAGGACGGCCGGCTGCCACACCCCTGGAGAGCCTGGGATTGGTGCGAGCGACGGAGAGTGAGGTAATGGCGAGGAGACGCCGCGTGGCGTTGTGGGAAATGTAGTCCCGGCCCCTCGGGGGCCTGGGCTGGGAACGACAATAACAACACAGCTTAGAGAGCTATTTCGTACAGCTGACTTTCGTGGTTTTTTTTAATAGTCTACGAGACGGATTGCGTAATTCCTACCTCCGAAATGCTAGAGGTGGGCTCGGTGAAATCACACAGCTCGCCGCGTTGTGAACAACAGTAAGATTTAGCAAAAGAAAAAAAAAATGTAAGGAACAGAAAACTGAAGCCGTCTCTTCAGATGAGGACTGCTGGACAAAAAACAGAGGGCCCACAGTTAAATTTTAATTTCAGGAGCTGGAGAGATGCCTCAGCGGTTAAGAGAACTGGCAGCTCTTGCAGGGTCCCCAGGTTCGATTCCCAGCGTCCACATGGTGGCTCACAACCATTTATAACTCCAGTTCCAGGAGTTCCCATGCTCTCTTCTGACCTCTGAGGGCACCGGACACACACGTGGTGCACAGACATACATGCAGACAAAACATCTATATACATTAAATACATAATGCTAATAAAAAATTGAATTTCAGGGCCGGGCAATGATGGTACACACCTTTAATCACAGCACTAGGAAAGGAGAAGCAAACACATCTCTGTGAGTTCAAGGCTAGCCTGGTCTACAGAGCAAGTGCCAGGACAGCCAGGGCTACACAGAGAAATCCCATCTTGAAAATAAACAAAAACAACAAAAAAACATTCATTCGTCTTATTACATTTGTGATATGCATATAGTAATCCGAAACTCAAATTCGTTTGGGTATGCTATTTATGGATTTTTTTTTCAAAATTTGGAAATCTAAGTAGAAAAATGGTGTCTCCAAGTCTGACTGAACACTCCATGGTGTTTATCGCTTCATTAACAGTCTTCAGAAATTAGGAGGAAAGAATTCACACAATGTCTCACGCTGTAGCCCCGGGCATCCTGGAACTCAGTGTTCAGTGCTGGGTATTGAACTGGGGACCTTGCACATAGTAGTAGCTTTGTGTCGAGGCTGACAACAGAACTTTCTGGAGAATAGACATAGCATATTTGAACTTATTTATTTGGTGTGTGTGTGTGTGTGTGTGTGTGTGTGTGTGTGTGCTCAAGCACTTGTCTCTACATGAGTTTGGAGTTCAGAGGACAACTGCTATTTGTCTGCTTTTCCTTCCCACCATGGGGGTCCTGAGGATCAAACTCAGGTCATGGTTTTTTGGCAAGCCCCTTTCCCTGATGAGCCATCTCCCTGACTCATTTTTTAAAACATAAGAGAAGACCAGGCATAGTGGTACTTGCCCTTAGTCTCAGCACTGGGGAGGCAGAGACAAGCAGATCACTGAATTTGAGGCCAGCCTGGTCTACAGAGCAAGTTCCAGGGCAGGCTCCAAAGCTACACAGAGAAACCATGTCTCCAAACAAAACAAAACAAACTTGTGGTGTGTATGTGTGTGTATTTGAGTGAGTGTGTGTGTATGTGTATTTGAGTGTGTGTGTATTTGAGTGTGTGTGTGAGTGTGTGAGTGAGTGTGTGTGTGTGTGTGTGCAGCCATGTGCTCACACCCACTGAACTTTTGTCTCTGACTAGTGAGTGTTCTATGGATTGGCATTCTTCACTAAGGATGCCAAGTCTTCGCCTCTAGAGGCTGGGTGTTGGTGTATTTCCTGAGCTTGCAAGATGCTGCAACCCTCAGAAACAGTGCCAGACAGCTGGCGGTAGAGCTCCTGGGTTAGGAACTCATTGTCATTCTCATTCCTGGCTCGTGCCCAAGCCTCGGCCTCTGTCACCATGATCATGGACTCCTGTTTGCAGTCTTCTTCTCCTTCAGATCCCTACGAGTCAAGGCGTGTGAGTGGGGGAGGCCTGGCCCCGCTGGTTCCTGGTGGACGAGCGTCTGTCTGTCTAGGCCACCATCATGTCACCCTTGCCCCGTGGTGCCTAACTGACCCCAGGCACTGGCCTCCACCCCTCCTGCCTTCTCCCATCATCCTGCTCATCTGCTTGGCCAAAACCTCAGGTCCTGCAGCCCAGTCCTCTGTTGGCTGGCAGAGGTCGTGACATTGAGCAAAATCAATTTGTCCAGCTCTCGACGTTTCTGCTCAGGGGCTGCAGTGGGAAAGTGACCCACAGGAAGGAGGACTAGAACGCTCTGGGTTTGGCTTTTCTTTCTTTCTGACCAGGAAGCTGGGAGAAGAAGAGAATGACTTGAGAAAGGGGATGAGGCGTTGGGACTCTATCCAAAGGTAACTAGGACAGTAAACACACCCAGATATCTAAGCCGGTGAGACTCAAATGTAGCTGTTTGTCCCAGAAGATCCTCACACAGCACCTCTGGCCTTTTGTTCCCAGAGTCCTCCTTTCCTCGGACTTTCAGAGGCCCATTCTCTTGCAAAGGCCACCCCAGCTTATCTGTATCTTAGCTCCAACCTCAGAGGCACAGGGCGACTCCATGTGCCTGCAAATACTGATGGCCCAGAAGATAGTTTGTTGCCTTTGCTCTATTTGGGGGCCCGATTATCACCAGACGGCAGCACTTTCTGTGAAGAAAAGGAATGAGCTAGATTTTACAGCCACTTCAAGGCACAGGACCTGGACACCACGTCCATAGATGCACACCCATGAAGGCTGACTGACTCTATGGACATCTGGGCAGCGGGAGGAGAGGCTGGGGCGGAGGCCGGGTGGGGGAGGGATGAAAAGTGTGATTTAAGTATGGAAAGAGGGTTGTAATGGTTTTGCGGGATGTTCTGGAATAAAGGGAATGGAAGGCCTGTTGGGGCTGTTTCCCAGGTAAGCCACGAGCCCACCTTAGTCCCCTTATCCATTCCCGGAGGTGGAGTCTGGGCAGGAACTATCGGGTCTCATGGAGCCCAGTGAGTCGAGGTGGGGAAAGGGTGAGGACCTGGTTACCCGAGAGCCTTAAAGATCCAGGAATAACCAGGTGAGCCAAACTCCGCCTCCGGGTGGTCGCCGTCCAGCGTGGCTCACCCCCTGCGAAGGAAGCCCCGCCCCCGCTGCTCCTGCGCGCCCCGCCCAGGCCCGCAGCGCGGCTGCAGCGCGAGGGGCGGGGAGGCAGAGCGCGGCGAGAGGACCAGACGCCCAGGTCGCCCGCATCCAGTGCCGCAGGAGACCCAAAGCGCGCCTTCGCCCGGGCGTCCCAGCTGCTGCCTTGGCCCCAGCCACAGATCACCTGTCCTCCGCCTCGACCCCAGCTCGGCGCTCCCGTGCTCCCGAGCCATCTCTACCCCGTGCAGCCGGAGACTCGCCCCAGCCCGTCGTCGGCGACCACCATGGCGGACACCAACAACGAATGCAGCATCAAGGTGCTTTGCCGATTCCGGCCCCTGAACCAGGCGGAGATTCTGCGGGGGGACAAGTTCATCCCCATTTTCCAAGGGGACGACAGCGTCATTATTGGGGTGAGTACCGCATCCGAAGGAAATTAGAGGAGGGGGGCGGGATGCAAGCATCTTTTCACCTCCAAGATTTAGCCTCTGCGCCTGTCATTCTGCAGCGGCTCCGGGCTGCTCGCCCTCCATCCGCCGCAGCCCCTCCTCTCCCCTGCATCAGGATGGCTGGGTGTGGCCTGCCTAGGCCTGCAGCCAAGTCTCTGCAGAGTGGGAGGGGGCTCCTTCCTCGTCATCGGGAGCCCCAACTTGTCTTTGCCACTCTCTTGCAATGTTAGAGCCAGTCCCCCGCTTTGGGGATGCTCTCTCCCCTCCGCCCCCCGCGAGAGAAAGCGCGTTTTCCCTTTGTTATTGGCTTGCATCTCAACCCCAACCTCCACGAAGGGAGGGGTAGATCGGTGGATGGGATAGATCAGAAATGGGAAGTCTAGGGTCTCTATGGAGGAGTGAACGGGAGCGGATTCTAGGACCAACCTTTCATCACCTGAAGTAGTTGCTGCCTGGACTTGGGGTGGGGGAGGGGGTACAAGTCTGATGAAGGGTTTTCTGGGAAAGAAATACATCGATGCCACACCCAATTGGGGAAGCAACCTCCAGAACCCTAAGGACCCGTCTGCCTTTCTATCCCAAGTGTAGTGTCAAGAGGACTGCAGACTCCCCACACCCTCCCAAGTCAAAGTGCCCAAGCCCGAGCTCGTTCATACTAGTTTGTTCATCTTAATCTTGAAGATCCGATAAAATGTGGCAGTTGACGGCTACCTCATCATGGCAGCCCTTCCCCATGGAGGTCCTGGGGAGCACTGACAACTCACCGTGTCCGTGGCCATCTGTGTTCAGTACTGACTTCTCAAAGCTGCCGTCTTTCAGGTAGTGCTCAGGGTTCCATTTTACAGATCAGGACAGCGAGGCCCAAGCAGGTTGGATGTCTTTCTCAAGGTCATGCTGGGAATCCGTAGATCTCTTCACTCTACACAACTGGACTCAAGCCTGTTATTCCAAAACCCACGAGATGTCCCTTTGTGCCCCCTTGCCTCCCCAGACTTCTGTTGCAGACAGGCCATTATCTGTGATGGCCCAAAAGGACTTCAGGCTGTGAGGAGTGAGAGGAGCTGGGCTGAAATTTGCAGGGTTTGGGGGATACTGAGCCAAGAGACCATCGCCAGTTTTGGAAGGGAGGGGCACCTCTGAGGGCGATCCTCAAGGTCAGGGTGATTCTTCTGTATCTTAGTCTACGGTGCTTGGCATAGAAAGGAGACGTGGACCTCCTGAGTTAGAGAAAATGGGACCTTTTTGTAAACATGTCTCCGAGAAAGCCCCAAGCTCCTTCCTACCTAGCCTGTCATGGTCTCACTCACAGTAGCGAACTCAGCTGGGCACTTGCTACACGGAGGACACCTTTGTTTGCCCTTAGGGACCCCAGTCAACCCCGGGGACCCGCCCCCTCTCTCTGAGTAACCTGCTGGCTGGCTTTATGTGGGGGGGATTTGCGCTTTGAGGCCCCTTTAAGTTGGAGAGTCTGAAAAGCAGGAGGGGTGGTCGTGGGAAGCGAACGAACGCACTGAGTGTCCGCTTTTGAAGCTTGCTTCACTGCTCAGGGTTATCCACTATACGAAGATGGACACCTTCGACTCTGAGGGCCATGCTGGTGTGGGGTGGGTCCTGTGATGTTAGGAGGAAGGGTTGAGAGAGGCATCTGTCCCTTTAGTCCTGCTAAACAGGGACAGCACCAGGGGAGATGGGGAGGGAGGGGACGAAAGGAAGCCCATGGCCCCCGATAACGCAGCTCTGTAGCTGGTCTCCTCTTAACCTGTCCTGCCAGGACTGGTGGGGCTGTACCTTCGTCTAGTTCTGAATGTCCGCTTGCTCCAGTCTGTCAATCTCTCACTCAAGATGTAAGTTCTTACAGGGGCCATTTTGTCTCAGGCAAGCATCCTCAGTGCTGCTTGCCTTCCGGACTTTCATTCATCATCCTCATCGTGGCTTAGAAGGGAGGGGATTGTGAGGAGGGCCTGCCCGGTTCCCGGAAGGCAATGGCATCTCCTGCCTCTTGTCTCCTCTGCCTCTCTCTGGGAGCCGGTGTCGGGGGCTGCCTGATCGTGAGTGGAAGAAGCCACTTGAGAGTGTCTGGGAAGGTGAGGGAAGACAGCTGGGGTTGAGAGGAGAGGACCACTCACTGGAGTCAGCGGCCTCTGCTCCCTCCTGCGCCGGCTCCCCTCTCCCTCTCCGCTGCAGCTTGCGCTGGGCTTCAGACGCCCTTCTGTCCCTGCGAGCATCGGCTTGCAGAGGGTACAACAGCAAGATGGAGACCGTTCTGTGGGTCTGGTCTTTGCCCCAACTCCCGACTTCTCTCAGGAACGTAGGGGTTGGGATTCAGCAAAGTCAACAGCCTGAGTCATAGTAGAAGGGTGCCCAGGACACGGCCTGTGTGTGGTGCTCTGCCTTGATTTGCCCTTTTTGCACTTAGAATCCAGTCGACTGTTTTCACCTAGCTCACTTAGGTGTCTCTCATCTTTGTTTGAGCCTGGGCATCAGGGCCGGGTGTGGGGGAGGGGGATCAATCAACTGCAGTCAAAATCTCTCTCTTTCTCTCTCCATTTCAGCTGTACAAAACTTCTTTCCTCAGGCCTCCGAAAACTTAAGCGAATTCTGTTTTTGTTTTTTGAGACTAGGTTTCACTGTGTAGCCTCGACTGTCCTGAACCTCTGTAGACCAGGCTGGCTTGGAACTCACAGAGATCCACCTGTCTCTGTCTCCCCAGTGCTGGGATTAAAGGCATGTGCCACCAACGCCTGGCTTGTTTTTGGTTGTTGCTGTTGCTTTCACGACATTTACTTATTTTATGTGTACGATGTGGGTGGTGGCTATGCATGTGCCATGCCTCACGCCAGGGTCAGGGGTATCTTTCGGAAGTCAGTTGATCCTGGGGAACTAACACCAGGCTTGGCAGCATCTTCACCCCGGCCCATTCTGGTTTGTTTTGTTTTTGAGACAGGCTTTTTTTTCCCTGTGTCTTGGATAGCTCGAAATCCTAGGTATGACAGTCTGAACTCAGACTCTCCTGAATGCTGGGATTGCAAGGCATGTGCCACCATCGAGACTTCGAGGGTCCTGTGATCTCCGAAGGGAAAGCAAGGATCTCTTTAGCTTTGAGGGGAGGGTCCTGAAGGGAAATGGAAAGCTGAGGCAATGTTCTTTGTGGCTAGTATCTCTCAAGCATTGTCATGGCAACAATACCCAGGGGTGTCACCATAGAATAGGGCCTGGCACTTGAAGTTTGGGTTCTACCAAGTGTTTTCTTGACAACTGAACAGGTCTTTGAACCTCTTAATCTTAGGTTCCTCATTAGCATCAAGCAGCAGGTGTGATGGAAAACCATCCTGAGGTGCTGGGACCTCTCCCGTGCCAACTGATGAAGGGAGGGAGGTTCAGAGTGGGTTCCCAGACACCGTGGAGCCCTGGCTGTGGAACTCTGCAGGTAGAGCCTCTGGGGATGGCTGGGAAGAGCATGGAGCTTGCTGGGAAAGAGCTCTCCAAGGTGGAGAGACTTCTTGGGTCTTTCCTAAGGGAGCAAGCCATTCAGCCTCCGGGCTGTGGCATTAGCTAGGCGGGATGCTACCTGGAAAGAGTGGAAAGGAACCTCTGAAAGGATTTGGGACTGATGAAAGGGCCTTAGTTCTTGAAAACACTTGGAGAAATGTAGACCGGGGAGGGCGTGAGGCAGCAAGGGCAAAGCCACGAGAAACCTCTGATGCAGGGCTGACCTTTGCAGCTCCTTGGTCACTCTGGGTGTGGGTTTGCAGTGAGAACCGAGTGGGTTTGGAGCCACGCTCACCTTTTCGTAGCTGTGTGACTGTGGGCAAACGACTGGACCTCTCTGAGCCTCATTTTCCTCATTTATAAAGTGAGGACAGTAACGCTCACATCCTAGGATTATCATAGCCATTGTTTTTTGGTTTTAGTTTTTATTTGGGGAGCGGGAGCGTATGTGGTGTATGTGGAAATGTGTGTGTGTGTGAGGGAGTGAGCTTGCACATATGTCCACATGCAGAGGCCAAAGCAGGAAGCCCTGTGTTTTCCACCTCTTCTTCCTGAAGCTGAGGCTCGCCGTGGAGGCTAGGCTGGTGGCTAGTGATGCCCTGGGAGCCGCCTGCTTCTGCCTCTCGCTCGGTACTAGAGTCACAGGCGCACGCATCCATGCCCAGGTTTTCTGCGGATGCTGGAGGTTTGAACTCAGGTCCTTGTGCATGTACAGCCAGGACCTTACTGAGTCTCCTCTGCAGCCTCTGTTCCTATCCTACTTTAAAATTACATTTCTTTATTTGTGGGGTGGGGCACCACCAGTGCAGGTCAGAGGACAGCTGGCAGGAATGAGCTTTCTTCCCAACAAGTGAGGCCTGTGAATGCAACTCAGGCCCGGCAGCAGACACCTTTATCCGCTGAGCAATTTCACCAGCCGTGTTCGATAATTTTTAAGACCAGCTTTTGCGGTGTGTCCCTGGCCGGTTTAAAACTGTGTAGTCCCGGGTGGTTCAAGTTTAAACTGGAGGAAACCTTCATGCTGTAGCCTCTTGAGGATTACAGCTGTGTGCTCCTATGCCCCAAATAGACTCCTGATAACAGTTAAAAGTTGGCTGAACACACCCTGTAAATCCTTGCACTCAAGAGGCTGAGGCAGGAGGATTGAAAGTTCGAGGCCAGGTTGGACTTCACAGAGCGACCATGTCTAAAATAAAATAAAATAAAAAAGCAGGGGTAGGGGGTTTCTCCAGTTCCAGGGAATCGGCTACCCTCTTCTGGTCTGCACACACCCTAGGCTTGCATGCCGTACACACAAACATACGTACATGCAAACACACACTCATACACATAAAACAGAGATGCTATTGTTATACATTTGGAAGTGCTAAGCACGTTGCCCTCTTGTGGATCGGTTCAACCAAACGGCTAAGCTTCTAGTGTCTGTTTATTCAACAGACATGACGAGTAGCTTGTGTTCCAGAGACTCTGCCGTT